TTGCTTTGACACAATCTGTATTGTTAAAAGCGCTATATAAATAAAGGTGACTTGACTTGACTTGTTCCAATAATAGTGTTTATGGGTCCAAGCCACTTCTAGTTTCAAGTGAAAATACTATCTCAGTAGCAATTTATGAGCACTATTCATCCTATATCACACCTTTAAGTTAAGCTAAAATTTAAAAAATTCACAGTGTATGCAACTGTCTCCAAGCTTATGGCATCCTGGACACCAATTTTTTAATGATTCAAAGAAGATTAATTACTATCTGTCAGAGTTTTCAGTACAGAGCTTGCTTTTTCGGGAATGCTACAGCAAACTGTGAGTGTATATTAGCACCATCTGATGTTTGCTTTTGGAATCTGAGGGAACGTTTGGACCCAGAAATGGTGACGCGTGACATTAGACTTAACCGAATTACAGCTTCCAACCTTCTTAGAATAGATTCATACAGCTTTTAAATAGCATTCTATGGAATGTCGTCTATCAGAACAAATGCTACTTCAGAGATGTTGAAGAAGAGAACTGACTTCTCACTCTTCTTTCCAAAACTATCCACAGTGGTTTGATAATATTCAAGTCAGGTGACTGAGCTGCCAGGGCAGATGTTGAAGTTCATCTTGGTGACCCAACTGTCCAGGTTTTATGATCGTGAATTCATCTTTTTCTGATTTTAGTACTGGTGTCTGTGATTAAAGTTTTAGCATTTACAGTTCTTTCATGGATGTTGCATTTGTGAATTTCTCTGGGGTCAGTTTTTGAGAAAACAAGGTCTTCAAGGTGAATATTGAGGTTTGCTGTCACTTTTGCTGCAGTAGCCAAGTTCTGTGTTGTTTGGACACAATCCTTCTTGGTAACCGAGGGTCCCTATAATTCACTTCAGTTTTTGCCCACTATACTTGTTTGCAGATAAAGTCTTGTCATGCTTTGTCTGAGCAGTCATAGTTGTAAAAGCTGTTATTCTTAAAACACCAAACAACTGGGCTGTTAAGGTAACAGATGCTTCTGCTGAACAGGCTCCCATGATTTGTGCTTTTTGGATGAAAAATCTGCAAATTGTTAGAAGAGTGTTGGTTCCAAAATGTACTGACAGCCCGGGCAGAGCATAATGCACATTTTCTGTTTTAAAATAGTTCTCTCTACATCAACTACAATATTAGAAAATCCTATTGGTCATGTAGTTAGAAGCCTCTAATTAAAGCTCACAAAATAGTCAATGTTTGTTTTTTCCCTTCTAGCTGTTGGGCTGTTATATTGCACTGGTAATTAAGACCAAAGCAGGTATAATGTGCACAAATTGTCAGTTTTTTTGCAAAAAAAATTAAAATAAAATAAAATAAATGTGAGCCCTCATATTTCACATTTATCCATAGACTGTTGATATCCAACAGTAAATCCTTAGAGCTGAAAATACTGCTGTAGAAAAACCACCAGGATGTTCATGTTCAACTGTAAACAGGTCATTGACTCGCCATCAAATATTTACAAAATTCTATTGTGGGCATTTGAGGCCGGATGTGTCTGAAACAGATGGATTGTGCACATGAAATGCACTGCTCCAGAAATATTCCTGTTGTGATTGACATGTGTCCTTATGGACAGGCATGAAAAGCAGTTTGCTCTGCTAGTCTGAAGAGAGAGAGGAGATGCCACTTGAACTGTTCCTCAACTGTTCCTCTTTTATATGTGAATCTCTGCCATAGCTGTGTCAATCTGACTGAAACAGAACAATATATATATATATAACATTTATAGAAATAAAATGGATATAAAAATTTAAATATATTTATATGGATACAAAAATGGTAAACCAAATATATCAAAGAAAATTGTAATTTAAAGGTACTTTACAAAAATGTCATAGGCAACGTTCTCTGAATTCCTCAGAGGTTTGGCTGTAGATAAGGAGGTTATGATTAATAAAGCTTCTCGTAGAATGCTTTAGCTTACTTTCAGACCATCAGAAAAGTTGTTGGGTGAAAAGTATAGGGCCTATTTGATTCATTTGGTTTATTTAACTCAAAAATTGCCCCCATTTATTATGTGGACAACATTGAACAACACGCAAAAACAAAATAAAGAAAATAATTAATATATAATATCATATATCAATATCTTGTTACAGTATTGTTTTAGGGAACTGTGGTAAATCAGCCTTTCTAAAATCTTGTCAGTAATGAAAAAATATCCTGCTTACTCAGAATTATATCACACACAGGAAAAGAAATTAGAAACACAAAGTTCGACTCTATATTCAGTTGCATAAATGGTTGTATTTTTCTCTGTCAGGATATTGTGTACTCATTTCCACTGTATTTTTCTTTTATAAACTTGTCATATAAAGTAACACTTGTTGATGTGATTTGGAGTCATTTGGGGTTAATTAGATCCAGGTGTGTCTCATAACTCCTCTTGGCATATTCATAAGCCTGTGTCCTCTGAGAGCTACAGCAGACATTTATACCATCAGCACTCATAGACCAATTAACGTGTGCACAATGACCTTTCTGCCCCACTGTCAGTGAAACACAAACCAGATTAAGGGCCTTTTAATGTGCTCAAGGAACTTATTAAAAAGTCCTGTAATAAATGATGAAGCACATCTGTTGATGGTTGTCTGGGAAATCCAATGAAACACCTAATGATGAGAAAGTCAATCCCAGGTAATCAATCATACAAGCAGACTTAGGTGAATTTTGTACGGGGAGGCAAGGGAGGCAATGCCTCCTCAAAAACATTCAGATGAGAAAATAAGTGACAGTACAAAACAAAGCAAAAAAAAAAATTACACAAAATTTTCTTGATGTTGCCTTGAGTTCTCCCTGTGCTCATGAAATGTGGCATTAATTCCATAAGCCTTTAAAGGAGTAGTTCACTTTCAAATGACAATTTCCTGATAATTTACTCACCCCCATGTCATCCAAGATGTTCATGTCTTTCTTTCTTCATTCAAAAAGAAATTAAGGGTTTTGAGGAAAACATCCCAGGATTTTTGTCCATATAGTGGACTTCAACAGTTACCAAACAGTTGAAGGTCCAAATTGCAGTTTCAGAGCAGCTTCAAAGGGCTCTACACGGTACCAGACGAGGAATAAGGGTGTTATCTAGCCAAACCATCGGTCATTTTCTTAAAACAATAAACATTTATATACGTTTTAACCACAAATGCACGTCTTGCTCTAGCTCTGCTTGCGCATGCGCATCTTCACGTGTTACGTAATCCCGTTGGAAAGGTCAAGTGCGGTTAGCTCTTTGTCTGTGGCCCTGTCCCAAATGGCACCCTAAACCCTTGCGGTCTTGCTTTGAGTCCGCACTTTCCTGACGTAATGCCGCTTTGACTGTCGGGTAGAAGTCTGCTGCGGAGCTCGCACCAGTGCGGGCTAGGCAGAAGTGCGGATCGAGGGCGCATAAAGGCCGTAAAGGGGGTGCTCACGAGCACCCTTCTGAACACTAAAATGACAAATGGGACACCCTCGTGGACTTAATGGACACGCGCATGCGGCAGCCATTGTAAGTCCGTAAGACCGCAAGTGCACATGAAGTGTTCCATTTGGGACAGGGCCTGTGTACTCCGGTTCAGAAAGGTAGGGTAGGGCGAAAATCTAAATCTCATTTTCTCCTCCAACTTCAAAATCGATCGACATCATTGTTTTACCTTTTTTTGTAAAGGGCGTTTGACTTTCTTTGCACATTCGCTTTGTAAATGTTGGGTCGGTGCTTTCGCCTACGTCACGCGTGACCTTCCCAACGTGATCCATGCTGGTTTCATGCTGGTTTCATCTGGCCAGAGGAGAACTGGCCCCCCGACTGACCCTGGTTTCTCCCAAGGTTTTTTCTCCATTCTGTCACCGATGGAGTTTTGGTTCCTTGCCGCTGTCGCCTCTGGCTTGCTTAGTTGGGGACACTTCATATCCAGCAACATCGTCGACTTGATTA